TGGCGCGAAGTTCCATCGCGGAGCCGGCGGGACGCACTGAGGGGACACGGTGAGCTGTGGCCGTGGCGGGGCACAGGGCTCCTGGTGCGGGGGACCGCGCATTGGGACCGGCTGCCCAGGGAGGCTGGGCACTCTCCCTCGCTGGAGACATCCCAGAACATTGCTATCCTGTGCAATGTCCTCTGGGACGACCCTGCTGGAGCGGGGAGGTGGGACCGGATAGACCGCTGTGGTCGGTTCCAGCCTCGCTCGCTCTGCGCGGGGATCGGGCCGGTGAGGGGGGTTGGTGTGAGGGTCTGAGGGGGGTTAGTGGCTCTGTGGTGCTGCCGAAACCCCTCGGTGTCCCGCAGCGTGTCCCGCCCGCCGCAGTGGCCCCTCAGCCGCCATGTGCCGGCTGGGCTGGGGCGGTGAACGGCACTGGGGGCTGTGTGTGGCTTTTTCCCGACTTTTCAGACGAAAACTCTTACTTTAAAAAAAAAAAAAAAAAAGGAATCAGAAACCAAAATGAAACAAAGTGTTGAGCGAAAGTGAAACGTCGCTGACGGTCTCCCCAGGTCGGGCAACCGGCCCCGCCATGGCGGTGAGGGCCGCGGGGGAATGGGAAAGGAACTGAACAACGAGTCACTACTAAATATCTTCCTTTTTTTCCTTAATGCCTCGTCCCTTGAGGAGGGGTGTCTGTGGCTTTGGGGAAGGTGGGCTTCTCTATGTCCGCCAACCACCGTTCTTCATCCACACCGAAAGAATTGATAGCAGTTCTCTGTATCTTCCCATCTTACTTTTGTTTTTTTCTTGTTTTATTTTTGTTTTGTTTTAAATAATAATCAATAAGTGTTTATTTATGTGTTTTAGCTTTTCCTTGGGAATCATGAACACCCGGCAGCAAAGCAAACTTACCTACTCCTGGTATGGAAAACCCTTGAGTTCAGACAGAAAGCTGAGGACTTCCCAGTACAAGTAAATAACATTTATTTTTGCTTTGCTAAGGGGAATTCAATGTATGTTCCTTTACCTTTCTTACATCCTTTAGGTTAACATGGCAGTCAGTGACAATATGAGTAAGGTTTTGAGCATTTGCTGTGATACTGTATGTATGTAACAAACGCATTGTCACCAAGCTCTTGAATTATAAACTGTACAATGTATAAGCAACCAAATCTGTGAATAAGTTTTAACTAGTTGAACTGCATAAGAGAGCTTCTAATCAGGGAACTAAACATTGCAAGAAGGGGCATAGCTAACTGTAAATTTGACAAGACATTGGGCTTAATGATATGTGAATTATGAAGAATATTAAATTCTCTTAATCTTGTGTCTGTCACTTTTTAGGGGGATCCTTATTACATCAGAAAGCAGCAAAACAAAAACCTGTATACAGCTCGGTGACTTTATTTTAGTAGAAGGGTTGAATGCAGATCAGCCTTACGTGGCACAGCTCATGGATTTATATGAAGATGGTAAGAGAACTAAAAACTTATATTCTGTGTGAGGAATCTTAAAATGTTTTAAAGTTGCCTTTTTCATGGGGGGTATAGCTAGCATTAATACTGTGTCACTGGCCTAATTTATTAAGAAAATCAAGTTCTGGTAATCATTGCATCTGTATTCACATGCTCCCCCAAATATTTGGGACTGATGGCTAATTTCAGCTAAATTTGATAGATAGATAGATGGAAATTTAAGTACACTGTAATTTTTGCAGTCTTCATGCAGTTGTCTAATTCAAAAGCAGTGGTCCTTGAGGAAGGCAGTGAGCTCATGCTTTATTTAAAGATTGGAGAATCTAGATGGAGCAAGAGCACTGCAGCCCTGAAATTTGCATCTTGGTAGACAAGATCAAGCAATTTAAGTATAATAATAAATAAATAAATAATAATAAATAATATAATAAAGTACTAGTCTAAATAAATGGGACTTGTTACTTCTGTTCCTTGTCGAGCTACTTGTTTATACAGAGGTTGATATGAAAAGATAAATCATGGGAGGTGGGTGATACAAAAATTGTCTGAGTCTGAATTGGGAACTACTCATTGGCTCTATCTGGTTACTTTGAACAGCTTTTGTTGTTTTTTGTGCTGTAATAATAATGCTTTGTGAGTTTTCTATTTACCTTTTTAAAACATAAATACATATAATTCCATCTTACTTATTTACTAATGCACTTTTTTTGTAGCACAACTGAATATTCTTTTCATGCTGGAATGAAGCCCATGAAACTTCCTTAAAAACAAGATATTTCATCAGCAATATTCCCTGGTTTGTCAACCAAAAAATTGCTTCTGGTTTCTCAAAGTACATTGGCACAACAAATAGCATCTTGAAATTTCTCAGTTCTCTTTTTATGTCACTGCTTTTAGTTAGCAGGGTTTGAAGAGATCACATCTATGCAAATAAGGAACCTCTTTGTGACAGGGAACTGCTGGTCTGGAGCTGGTCTCCAGGTATTTTTGTGATTGAGACCATGTGCAGATGTTACCTTAGCCCTTAAGATTCTCAACTCAGACGTTTTAATTTAGCTTAGAAAATGGGACTTGCAGTCTCTTACCAGATGCTTTCTCACCTGTATCCTGGGAGGATTTCTACCCTTGCTGGCATTTCAGCCAAAGACTGGCACTATTTGTGACACAGTAAAACTGTGATGTTCCCTGACTTCCTCTCCTTGTCGCAGGTGCTCAGAACAAACGTGCAGTTGTGCAGTGGTTCTGTCGTTTGGAGGAGATACCTCAGAACAAACGGAAGCTGCTGAAAAGAGAGATTTCTGCCCAGGAGGTGTTTTATGATCAAGTTCTTGGCTATGACACTGATATAGCTGCAGAGACCATTATTAAAAGCATCATGGTATGTACTGCAATCTTTCTACGCAGAGAGGGAAGAAAGAGCCCTGTAGTTTAAATTAATAACTAAGGGTTGCATGAGTTAGAATAATAAGATCTATGAATAGAAAATAGCTAAACTCTAAATTAACAGTAAATGTTGGTGAATGTGTGTTTTGATATTTCCTGGTTTTGCAGGTATTACCGCTACATCTGGGTGAGGAGCTGCCTATCATTACATTAAACAAGGAACAAACTTTCTATGTCAAACAGTCTTGGGATGGGAAGTGCTTTAAGATTTTGTCCCCGGACACATTCTCTAAGCTGAAAGAAGCTAACAAGCAAAGAGGTGTCATCACAAACTCTTCAAAAGCATTTATTCCTTCAGATGTCCTTACACCTTTGAAAAAAGAGACAAAGAATGTTGTTCAGAGTGCCACAAAACCAAAAAACGTTGACATGGAAATAGAATCCAGACATTCTACTTCTAAGTCCTCCCTTGCTAAGGAGAGGCATTCTCAAAGGGTGGCTAATAATGACATCAAAACCCCAACAGCAAGGAAGAAGCTGGAGTTAAACAGTATGTATATGGCAATATTCTGTCCATTCAGTACTGTATATGTTTTGTGTTTCTCCCTTTTGGCTAATTCTAGCAGTTGTAACATTTAACATCAATATTTTTAGCTACTTTGTTCAGACTTTGGGATCAGCCCAAGCTTTGTAGGCACATCACTTGTTTGTCTTGCCTGTTGTTTCAAGCACTCCACTGCTTATATCCAACTGCTGCTGTCAATGCTTTATTTGTATCTGATAAATCTAAATGAAAGTGCTTGTTGACTGAAATGCTACCAATCAGCCTCACTTGACCTCCAAATGTCCTGCTTTCTTTAATCTTCTGACTGATTGTGCACTAAAATGTTTACATTGAGCTGGTTGAATGAGCACATTTGATCCTGTGTAAAATGCAGTATTTTCAACATGGAACCTGAACTAAAGTTATAAGTGATAGAAGTGGGTTAGAGAACGGAAAAATCTGTTTGTCTTCCTTCTGTTCAGTAATTTTTTAGAGGAAGTGACTTCTAGTGATCCAGTTCCTCGAGTGATATCCTTTCCATCCTGTCCATCTCCTTTCATTTAAACAGCAGGCACTGAGCCAGCTGTACCATGTCTTCTGAAAATTAACCAAACCAGCCATATTGAAGCCTGACAAAAGTTTATTTTGCTTTTAATTTCTAGGTCCCACAAGATCCAAAGGCAGGCTGCTGGGATGTGAAGTTTTGGGTCTTTTGGATGATGACTGTGATGCCGTAGCACCATTAGAAACATCAGCCACTAAAAGAAAAGTGAAATTCACAAGTGGAATTTTGGGCTCACCACCAAAGATCCCCTGCAGCAATAAGTCCAAGTCAGCATCTGAGACTGCAGGGGAGTGTCAAAGGTTCAGTGACGCGTTACGATTGTCCCCCTACACTAAGGTCAGAGATTTCAGTGAGAAAGACAAGAATCTTCATGAGAAAGATGACATTCTATCGTAAGTGACAGCATTTTTGTCATTATTTTTGTATGGGATTCCTATTTGTGTGAAGCTCTCTTAAAACACATTTATGAAAGATGTCTGGAGAGGAAAGTAGGTGAAGTCTGCATGTGCCATGTTTTGCCTGTTGAGAGCAAGGAAAGAAGGAGGAGGGCCTCAGCAGTGACAACTGAACTGTGATGAAGCGTTAGAAAATGTTACTTGGAGGTGAATGAATGATCAGGGAGATCCAAAGAGGGCTTGACTTTTCAGATGGAAAAGCAGTTCATTGGTCCAAGAACAGAGAGATGACGTTGGAAATGGGAATGGTCGGATGATAGGAAAGGAAACTGAAGCCATGTTGATCCTTGTTGTTGTGATGATTGTACCCATCAACATGGATGAAAATCTGTTTTCCTGCACTCAAGACTCAGATGTGCCTGACTTGTGACAAGTGTTGAGGGATGCTGGACTGTAGAAAGAAATTTGATTTGCCTCAGGAGAGTCTTCATGAGAATTGTATGTATACTTCCATGCTAATTTTTCTGTAGGAAAGAAATCAAAGCCCAAAAAGCACAACTATTCAAGTATATCTTCACACAGTCTTTATAAACAGCAAAAAATGGGGGAGGAGATGAATGGAACAGGCTTTCTTCTGCAAAATGTTGCAAGAAGCCAGAAAC